GGGAGCCCTTGATGGGCATGAGTGAGGTCCTGGGTTCCATTCCCAGCATGGCAAAAATAAATAAATAAATAGATAGATAGATAGATAAGTGATTGATTATTCAGGATTTAGCATATATCAAATAGGGAAGTATGGTGAAGTAATATTTTTACATTTGGGAGTGATTCTGTTTTTATAGTGCCCAAATGAATTTACAGGAAGATGAGTAAATTTTTTAAAATTAAGTTTTAGAGGAACCATCTTTAGGGAAATCATTATCCTTATCTGAATTCCATGATTTAAAAATAGCTTTTCCATCACAACAGTATGAAAATAAGAAAAATGTATTGCGGTATTAAAAGGAAGAAGAAAATATAGATAAGTTCAAAATTGAGTCTCAGAAAAGTTCTGAAAAGAGGGTGGACAAAAAGCTTAAGTGTCCTTAGGGCACAGTAAATCTATTTATTGCTCCACCAACTTGAAGCCTAAAGCCAAAACTGTCATTCTGTCAGACAGGCAAACTTCTCAGTAGGTAAAGCTGAACTTATATTTTTAAATGAATGCAAACTGCTCAGTTGGAACACACTTAAGGATAGTTTGCATTTCCATTACCTCTAACCATGAATTTTAGAGCTGAATTTGAAGATAAGGTGCTTAATTTAACAGGATATGGTTATGCTTTTTCTGATCAGACAGAGAAGAGAAGACATGAGTTGTTTGTTTTACCAAATCTGGACAATCTATATAAGAGGCTGCAGCTCTGCCCCTGGGTTTTGTCAGCATCTTATTGCATTCACAGAGTTGGTTGCTCACCTCCTTCTCTAAGCCAGCCCTTGAGACTGCTGGTGTCATCTTTCCACGCAACCCAGGCTGTGGAGCTCATTATCTACTGCAGTTCCTGGGCAAATGGTGTCTGCAGGAAAAGAAAAAAAAAGTGTGATAATGTCCTTGCTAGGTTTGGAAATCTAAAAGCAGGATACTTTTCAGGAAAATGCTGGGCTTTAGAAGATTATCTCTTCCCAGTCCACTGTCTACTTGCTTGATTGCCCAACCTAATTCTTTGTTTACTTCTTCATCCCAAAGACATCACCGATGGGATGGGAAGAGAAAACAGTTTATGTCCTTTGTCCCACTTATCCTTTGAATCCAGGACCAAAGAACATCTGAAGATGGGGACATTGTGGAATGTTTGGTGTGCAAAGGCGAGCAAAATTGGAGAGGGCTGAATAATTGCTAAATTAGATGAGCTTTTATTTAATTCCTAAAGTTGAACATTAGAAAGAGAGGCCGATGGCTCCCAGGATGAGGATCCTAGCGGTACAATTTATCTTGTGTGCCAGCGCTCCCAGGGCTCCCAGGGCTCCCAGGGCTCCTGCTCTTCATGTGGCATAGACAATGCCAGTATGTCTTCCTCAGAGGGAGGGAGGGGATACTGCTGGTTTCAACCCCAGGATCAGGCTGAATTTGCTTCTCTAGTTACTATAAAAAGTTGGAGAATAGCCCATTGCCATTGCTTCCCCTTTGTGGAGAAAGGTGGATGTTTTTGAGATAATTGTAACAAAGTGTAGGGTGGAAATGGATAAAAGGATTTTTCTCTGACAAAATTGATCAAAACTTGGTAGATGTAGAAATCCAATTAGTTGCCTTTCTATTCTACTCTACCCAGAGAGCACTAAAAACACTCCCTCTTTTGAATGAAAATGCAGATTGGAGTACATTTTAATCTGTACTTTCGTAGAGTCTAGATGCGGTAGCACATGCCTGTAATTCCAGTATTCAGAGGCTGAGGCAGGAGGATTGCAAGTTCAAAGCCAGACTCAGCAATTTAGCAAGTCCCGAAAGCAACTTAGAGAGACCCTGTCTCTAAGTAAAATGCCAAAAAGGGCTGGGGATGCGGCTCAGTGGTTTAGCACTCCTAGGTTCAATCCCTGCTATCTGCTCCCCCTCAAAAAAAGAATAGTGACTGGAAACTAGCACCTCCATTTATGAGCTCTCTTCCCTTGGCAAGTGACTTGACATCTTTGGGCTTCTGTTCCCATACCTCTACAAAGAGGGAACAGGAGTCCCTACCTTATAGGGTTATTCTAAGGATTAAATGAGGTGATCTATGTATATATGACAGTTGGATTTGTGCCCAGCCCAGTAAATGTTAGCTATTGTTATTATTTTCTGCCTCTCTTTCATATTTTATATAAAAAGTTTGATTTAAGAAGTTTTCACTTGCTCTTTTAAAATTTTTTATGGAATTTCTGTATTTTTCTTTAGCTTGTGATTGACCCTTCCAGAAAGCACTTTGGAATGTTCTGTCAGATGGGTTATCATGTATTACTATGCATTTGCTTATAATTAAGTTTGGGGATCTTACAATTGACTCTGCACTTATATAAGAGTATTTATAGAATGAGTGATCCAGGGGGCTGGGGTGTAGCTTAAGTGGTAGAACACTTGCCTAGCAATTGCAAAACTCTGGGTTCCATCCCCAGCAACACATGCACACAAAAGGAAGAATTATCAAATGGCTTTCTAAATGCCCCCATGATGTGTTCAGCTGTTTGTGCTTTGAACAAATGCTTAGTGAGCACACAGAGTGAGCTAGATTGTGTTTGGAGCCTGGGAATTTAGAATACATCATTTGAGGTCCTTGTCCTCGGGTGGTTTGGTTACATTCTGGTGAGAGAGACAAATCATTAGCAAGTAAACAGACATTTCAGTTTGAAGTACCGTGAAGAGAATATAACAGGACACCATGAGAAGGACAAGGGGAGAGAGAGCGTGGGTTGTCCCAAAAAGGAGTCAGTTGAAAAAAATGAGACTTGTTCTGTGATTTAAGCAACAGGAGGAACCTAGTTATTCACTGCTGGAGGAAGAGAAAAGCACGCCACCCCCAGGGGAAGTGAGCTGATGTAGAAGAAAAGCTGGTGCCTATTGCCCACCTCCTGAGAGGGGAGAACTATGCATGGCCAGGCAGCAAAGGCAGCCCAGGTGACCACACTAGTAATGTCTATTTATGAGGTCACACATCTGCCCAACAGCATGGCCAGTGGAAGAGTTAAAAATTGAACTCCAAGGGGACACAGTCCTGCTCCAGCCATAAGTTATTTACCAGTTTGGGAAAGCTTGGCGTATCTTGTTTTTATTTTGATTTTTGGGAAGTTAAACATACTGAATTAGTGTAAGATGTCCCATGCATCCACAAGGCAGCTTCTCCAGTTATCAACCACAGCCAGTCTTGTTTGTATCTCTTCTTATGTCTTTATTTTTTCATTTCTTAGTGCTTTGATTCAACATAACAGCGTGTATTAATATACATCACAGCCAGGCTCAGTGGCACATGCCTGTAATCCCAGAGGCTCAGGAGGCTGAGACATGAGGATCGTGAGTTCAAAGCCAGCCTCAGCAAAAGTGAGGCACTAAGCAATTCAGTGAGACCCTGACTCTAAACCAAATACAAAATAGGGCTGGGGATGTGGCTCAGTGGTTGAGTGTCACTGAGTTCAATCCTGTGTATCCCACCCCCCCGCAAAAAAGAGATATACCAAGTGCCAGATGGTGTATGTAAAAGCAAATAAAAACAGTCCTCTGCTCATTTCCCATGGCCCGTTAGCACAGGCCCTCCTGCACAAGGACCTCATCACGATAAATAGTTGGCACAAACCAAAGGTCATAGGAGTACAGAAGAGAGAGTGATTCGTGCCTCCCTGAGAGGTGGAGGAAAGGGAAATTGGGAACCTCAGAGAGTGAGATCATACAAAGCGGAGATGGGAAGAAAGATGAGGGTGGAGGAAAGAACATGAGCACAAGAGCATTTGGGGGCAAAAGATTAGAACTGAGCACATTGGGGAATAGTAATAAAGAGAGATCTAGCTAGAAACATGGGTTGGGCTACATTCTAAAAGGCCTTGATCACCAGTCCAAGAAATTTAAATTTTATTTTGTAGAGAAGTAGGAATAACGTAATTCTTATGACAAAAAAATAAATAAATAAACTAGAATAGTGGGATCAATATTTCATAATGATAATGCTAGTGACAGTGACGGGGTTTGATGGGGGAGAGCCTGGATAGGAAAACCAGTTGAAAGACTTGTTCAACAGGGTAGATGAGCACGAGATTATAATAAATGGGACACTGCCAAGTAGAGTTGCATAAATGTGAATCCCAGAACTAGTCTGAAGGGCTGGATAGATAAGACTTTATAGAGAAGATGGCTTTTGACCTTGATCTTGACAATGAAAACAGATTGGACATGAAGGGAAGGAGTTGCGGTAATAGGAACAGCATGTTCAAGAAAGTACAGGTCTACAAAAATGCAGGAATGTTCAGAAATTTGCATGGAGGGAAATGAAGCTGCTGGCTGACCAGCAAGCTGACCACTAAAGTGGTGCCAGCCAAAGATGGCCAGGGCTTTCATAATTCATAGACAGGCTTAGTGACTGATGGGCAGTGCCGGGTGAAGGAGAGGAATGAATTGCAAAGCTGAGGTTTCTAGGCTAAAAATACTTTAAAAAGTAGAACATTAAACAAGATAGAAAGTGCAAAGGCAGGTTAACAGGAAAAACTTTGTGTAGCTACAGACATGCTTGATATGTTGTTACCCTGGACCGTCTGGGTGGGAATGCCCAGTAGGCATTTGGAAATTCAGGTATGGAAAGTGAATTTGGAGTCACCTACAGGAGCTGATGAGAGGCAGAAGCTAATGAAATAGTGACTGAAGTCTTCCTTTGTTACTACAGACCAGGTGTAACCAAATCGTTTTGTGACACATCTCATTCTGTTTCCTATGGGTTAGAATGTCCCTATCAAGGATGGTGATGTTTTACGCCTTGATTGCTCTGTGACCTGAATGATATAACTACCATCTTTTATACAGGGATTGTCTCTGTTTTCCAACATTGTGATAGTATTCAGCTGCGGGACACCTAGAGCTACCTGCTTTTCATTGTGAACACTGCTGCCCTCAGTTCCACCCAGGTAGAGTGCGCCTGGGCCACCATGGACTCACAGTTACCTTTCTTCCTCCAGGTTTCATCGTCCATAAGGAAGTTCGGAACTATTTGGAAACAGCAATGGATCGTCTTTTGGGGAAGCCCTTCTTCCTGAAAACCTGATATTGCACTGAGATTTGAGTGTGTGTGTTTCCATTGAACCTGTGGTGAAGGAGACATGTGACTCAGCTTTGATCAAAAGTGCTCCTCACCTGTACAGCCAAGATGGGCCAACAAGCAAGCAGAGGACACAGTGAGCCTTGCTGCCCAGAATGTGTATTGATGGTAAGGCGCACTGTGGTTACATCCGCTGTTCTTCATCAGGAGTTGAAATCACAGAAGATGAGCAGAAGACAATCGCTGACTCCCTACCAGAAAGCCAAATGTTGTCACGCATGCAGGTTAAAGAAAAATGGAGATTGGAATTGCTGGGCACCAGAAAGGGGTGGGAGTTGAAAATCAGAAAAAAAAAAAGGAGAAAAATACTTCATTATGTTAATGAAGAAGAGAGAAAATTGAAGCATATTTGTATTTTCGAAATAGGCATTTGGTAGCTGAGAACTTACTAAGGGATTTGGGAATCTAATCGACCAATGTGGATTCCTTAAAGACTTGATTCTAGAATACTCTTGTTTCACCATTAAGTTGGTACACTGTAGTACCATTATTTTATGTTGTGCCAGTGAATCCAGTTGCCAGAAACGTCTGAATGTTTTCATTCATCTTTTTCTTAAATACAAGAGGTTTCTATTGACTCTGACCAAGCATGCTTACGCAAATTTTGTTGCATGCTTTAAGTAGCATGGCTATACACATTTGACTATTTTTTTTTAAATACTTCTTTCCTAGTGTATCAGTGTATCAGCCCTCCACAAGGATAACAGGACTGGACATAAAGTCAGATGTCATGCAGCTGTATAAATCTGTTGCAAGCTTTAGAAATAATTCTTTCGGCCTTTCCCTATCTTGATTATCTCTAGAGTCAAGCAACCATACTTGTTCTAAAGAAGATACTATTGACAATCATGACACCCTTTAAAAAACCTGAATCCAAAGTTAAAACGTAAGCGAGGTGCAAGTGTGTGCTGTCTGCTGTTAGTTTGGAGCAGGAGGCAAAGGACCAGTTATGGAGGATCATGAATTCAAAGCCAGCCTCAGCAACAGTAAGGCGCTAAGCAACTCAGTGAGACCTTGTTTCTAATTAAAATATAAAACAGGGCTGGGGATGTGGCTCAGTGGTCGAGTGCCCCTGAGTTCAATCCCTAGTACCAAAAAAAAGAAAGAAAGAAAGAAAATGATGGGTTGCTGCTATTTAAAAATAAATAAAATAAAGCACATGAAAAAAATACCCCAGTGCTTAAAGAAAACAGAAAATTTTTGCTAAGTTGTGTGTGAGGAAAACCTCATCGTGTATATCAAGAGTCTACAGACTGCATCCATAAATACAGTATTTATTTTAATGCTAGAAGACCAGTGAGGTAAAAGTCATAGATTTCCCTATGATCCTGCAGTCAGTATTGTTTACATTTAAAAATAAAACAAAAAATACCCTCTATAATGAAATTGATCTTTTTCATGGAGTCAACCCCAAGCCCAGAATGACTTCTAATCTCAAATGCATTGACCTTATGTCAATACCTCCTCGCATTGAATTGTTCTTTCACAGTTATTTTGTGTCCCTTCTGTTAAAATCACATGAAATCTATAAAAAGAAGGCAAGACCTAACTAGAGGATATATTATTCTTTAGAACATGGGTGAGAAGAATTTTCTGAATTGTTTCTGGTTCAAAATGTGGAAGAGTGTAATTTTCAATTTCAACTCCAAAGTAAGCATTTCATGTGCTGGATAAATTTTGATCCTACCATTCCTTGGCATTTTAAAGAACCACTTGAAATTGGGTAATTTTATTTTAAATTTTTAAAATATTGACCCCAGTTGCCATACTATAAAAAGCCAGGACCATTTTATAAATAAGAAGAGTAACCAGCATTAATGTACCTCTTGCTGAAGTCAGCTATGTGCATTAACAAAATAAGTCTGCTTTCCATAGCGCTGTCATTTCACTAATAGAATAAGACATACCTTGCTTTGAAAAAGATGTTTCTGCATCTCCAAATCTGTGGCTCTATATCTGGCTATGGTATTGTCTGCTGTGTTGTTCTGCAGTGCTGGGGATCAAACCCAGGGCCTTGCACATATTAAGCAAGTGATCTACCACTGAGCTACATCCTAAGCCCTTGTCTGTTTATAAGGTTTCAATCCAGCCATAAAAGTTAATTTTGTTCTCATTTTTTTTCTAAGTTATCTTTTTCTTTATTTTATCTTATTAGCATTTTAGTGACTTGAAAAAAAAAAATACCAGAGAATATAATGTTCCTTTCCTTTTTCTATGCTTATAATCTTTGAGTATTTTTTTAAATTTCTAATTACAGGTCTTATATAATGTTAAATATAAAGACATCACTGATTTAGCACTCAAGATACACGTCAGAGAAAGTTCCTGTTGAGTTTATGGAAGGAACTTTTCTTTTTAACCATTAGTGATACATAAAATGTAATTCTTTTATTTTAAAATGAGATTCACCCTGGACCAAAGTGAAAAACTGGGCAGTAAGTAATTCAGTAATTTTCCTTGTGTAATTAAGTCAGATTTATGAAGTACCCACACTTTTTTTTCATACTAACTAATACATTCGGAGAAAATTTTATCAGAGAGAAATTTGAAAGTAAATAATAAAATTAACCACTGCTAGTCTAATATTTAAGTGACTAGAACCACCAATTATTTCATTAGCAGGATCCGCTAAATAAAAAGCTATGGAAGGAATTAAAGGATTATGTGCTGAGCTGTATTTCGCAGAATGAAGCTCTATTTTCTTGGTTAATTTTTAAAGGCACAACTGCATATCTCCCACCAGCAGCCCATGCAAGGGTCTCCTGCCCAGCAGGCCTACAAGAATGCAAAGGTCTGGGTCATCCTCCCTGTAATTATGCCTCTGCCCACTACCAGCATTTCTGCAGTCTAACCACTATGTTTCTATTCTATAAAGAAAATAAATGTGTGTGGGAATTGGTTTTCTTTTTTGGTGCTGGGGAATCAAACCCAGGCCTTGTGCATGCTAAGCACCTTCTACCACTGAGCTACATCCCCAACCCCTGTATTTCTTTCTTTGTTGCTGCTATAACACAGTTCCAGGTTTTCACTGAAGTGTGACATTAGGCTAACAAAGAACAAGTGAGTGACTTTTCCTGGATTCTTGATATATGATTAAAGAAGAAAACAAACCCACCTCTAGGAAGGAAAGAATAAAATGTGAAAACCAAAGTGACCATTCCATCTTTTTTTTTAAATAGGGGGAAAATAATATTAAGGTGGTAAGAAAATGCTAAATGAACTTTATCAACATCCTCATGGTCATTACCAATCAACCTGGAAAAAAAATGGTTCTCTAGTGATGAACATGCATTTAAGGCAGCTTACTTGATAATTTCCTGTGTAAGAGAAGGGTTTTGCATTTTTTTTTACATTAGCTGTTATCTATCTTTATGCTAATTCCTTGAATCATTTAACTGAAATCTACAGTAGTTAGAGAACCTATCTTGGGCATTTTGAATAGCTGTTTAATTAGAGAAAAAAACCAACACATCTATTTCTCTGACTTACCCAGAAAAACTGATTTTCTGGTTGCATCTTTGTATCCCTTATTAGCAGAATGAGTGTAGTTACTTATCTTTCTCTAATGTCATTAAACATTCTGTTAGTAGAAAGTTCTAAACTTCTTTTTTTTTTCTTTTCTAGTGCTGGGCATCAAACCCAGCTAGGCAAGTGTTCTACCACTAAACTGGGTCCCTAGCCTGGAGTTCAGAAATTTAAGTAAAAAAATCAGCTTAAGAAAATAGAAGGATTGAATATACTCTTCAGAAATCACCAAATATTGAAATGACTCATGAGTCCTTAAAACCATAAGTCAGGTTGCACATCCTGTAGTTATTTCAGTGCTGTACTAGCACATTAAAAGGAGAAAAAAAAAATCTGGGCACCGTAGTGCACACCTGTAATCTCAGGTATTCAGGAGGCTGGGGCAGAAGGATCCTAAGTTTAAGGCCAGCCTTGAACACTTGGTGAGACCCTAACTCAAGATAAAAAATGAAAAGGATAGGGATATAGCTCAGTGTAAGAGCGCTTGCCTATTATGCATAAGGCCTGGGTTCAGTCCCCAATACCAAACAACAATGATAACCCCAAAATACTACCTTACATTTGAAAGAGGAAAAACAAATGGCATTAACACTGCATATCCTGATACATACCACACAAACATATAACATGCATTTTACTTATACTTCATAGAGTCAAACACAACTTGTAAAAATTCACAAAAGGAAAAGGCATACCACATAGTAGTATGTCATTTAAACCATGAAAACTTTCTTTCCTTTCTCTCTCACTCAAAAATGTTTATAGTCCTAGCAGCATATTTCATACAAAGTAAGAAACTTCCCTTATAGTAGGTAAGGTATATTTAAACAAATACAAGATGTATTGACTATGTCATTCTCATCAGTGTGGCATAACTATTCAAGCATTCCTGAATTCCAGTATATGAAGCCTGTCCTTACTCATGAAAGTATATTGAGATCATTATTTCTTCACAGCATTAGAATATGTTGTGAGCATTAAGGAACCACTTAGACACAATTTGTTTGCAATATTCTCCCTTAGCCCTTAGAATGGTTAATCTTTCACTAGCAAGTCTTTGATCTGTACTGTCTGGTGGGGGATACTATATTGTTTTACTTGACAAAGCAGAACAAACTTCTGGAATTCAAATATGTGCTAGAGGAAAAGATAACAATAAAGTAATCATGTTAATAGGAGCATCTTCCTGAGAAAAAGCACACCCCTAGATAATTCAAACTCAAATTCCAAAGAGGAACTTTAGGCAGGCAGTGGCCAAAGGGTACTAGGGACCAAAAAAGGAACCCCGCAAACCATTCTCATTTTCACCTTCTTTTACTTTTTGTAGTCATTAAGCTTAAGATCTGTTTGAAAATGTGAACCATCATTAGCATTTCGAGAAAGCAGCTGAAAATAAGCCACATCTGTGGGCACTGTTTTGAAATCAGAATCCTCCCAAATTAAGAAATCCCATTGCATACATTGTAAGATTTCTGGCAAAGAAATGAAGATTTCTGTGGCAGCTATTCCCTCCTAAAGATGACCCTAGAAGAAGGGCCATGTTTAGCGATGCTAGGATTTCCTGCACACACACACACACACACACACACACAAATGTCATTTAGTTTGTGGCATTGCTCGCACAGCTGCACATAGGAGACAACCTTTGTCAATTGATGTTTCTCCGTGGGGATGTTGTAGTCATTTAGATTTGGGCAATTCTCTGTTACACAGAAATGTCCCACACCTTGCAAGGTGTTTTAACATCCCAGTCCCCTGCTGACAAAATGCCAGTAGTGTTCCCAGTCAGTGTAAAACCCACAAGTAACAAGCTCTTCCCCAGCTCACTTGCCCTCATAGGGTGGTACCTCCCCACTTGAACATAATTGAGAACACACAGGCAGAAGTGCCTATCCCCAAAACATTGTCTCTACTGCCTTGTGTTTCTTTGGGCCCATTCATTTCTCAAGCCTTCTGCTTCCATTCAGCTTTAATTTGCCCATTTCTTCAGGCAGGAGTTTCCCAGCAGCCTTGGCAATTCTGTGTGCAGTGGGCATGGTAACTTGGCCTGATCCCTGTGTGTACTTAAGGGAGAGATTTTACATGAAGCGAGCTTTCTCCCCTCACAATTTTTACTCCAAAACTACGCTGTTGGACATAGTTCTTGCAGTGTTGTGAGGATTGTCACAAGAGTTGAACACAAACACAGTGACTCTTAACAGTCCACATAAACAAAGCAGGGGGTCTTTGGAAGTCACCATCAGATTTCACATGGTAATGTTACATCCCATGAGTTCCAAAAGAGTCTCTTCTTTCTCCTGTTAAGGAAGCATTTAATGTGCATGCAAATGCTTGGATGCCCCTGTATAAATAGTCACGTGGTTCAGCTCTTCTAACAAGGTCTGTGAGTGCTGCATTATGATGGAAATGTGGATTAACTGTGGATTGCATGCCTGTAGTTCAACTGCAGCAATGGTCACACACAAACCTCCTTTTACCTGGGTGAAACGTTATTAATCTGCACCAAACAATACAGAAACACATTTATGCTCTTTGTCGCTTTTTAACACCAAAACTGAATGGTTAATGTCTTGAAATTATTCCAGTGAATTGTAGCTTGGAGAATGGAATTAATTTAGCCACTATAATTTTTTAAAATAGTAAAACCCCCAAAATATTTTGAGGCCGAGCAACTCAGAGTTGATAAAGGTGGTTGGTTATTTTGAAAATGTATAGATGGTGCTTAAGAATTGTTATCTTTTTTAATAGCAGTGTTTTTTCTTTTTTAAGAGTAAATTGAAAGGAGTAAATGAGGCCGATTGCCACTCCACCCTCAGGTCAATTTTATGGTATATTAAAATGCCAATAATGTTTGTGCCACTTGCCAATCTGGGGGGGGGGGCTTCTCCCTTACTGGATGATGTTATAGTTTGGCTATATCATTACATTGCTTAGAGAGCTTCTGCACAAGAAATTGCCACTGCAGTGCTAATCAGCATTCAGAAAGAACCAGACTGAATCAAGGGTCAAACCACTTTCATCACTTAAAATATCAGCACTAATTTTTCTTTTTCATGTTTTAATATTTCTTCCATGGCTTAGAAATGTGCCAGTGTGTTAAAAAGTTTGTGTACCAATGTCACCAGTGAAATACCAACTAAAAATTCAAACTAGTCATTTTTTTTCCTATGTAATGGTGATTTTGAAATTCAGGGCTATCTGCATTCTTTTTGTTATTTCAAACTTCAGTTAAAGTTGAAAGAATGGTAAACTGTGATCATTATCAGACTAATTGAATGGTTCCTGATTTCCAGTGAGTGATCTTGTCCACCTATTACACAGATGTAATATCTGTGAGTGTAAATAACTGGAACTGTATACTGATTAACATGACAGTTTCTCTTTTTTGTCATTTTTCTTAATCTGTACTGTATTATAGTATGTGGGTATAAATATCTACAAGTATACACACATATGTATATGTATTCCACTATTGTAACCTGAAAGATAAACTATGTATTATCTTTTTTATTCCATATTGGTGTTGTGTTATTTAAAAAGCAAAATTTCGCTCTATCTAGTGGTATACTATAATAGGATACTTTGCCGTGCACAATTCCAAGTGCCTTAGGACATTGTTTAGCTTTCCTAAATATATATAAATGCATATATGTATAAAACTGGGAAAAGTTACCTCAATAAAATCATTGGGAAATCCCCAGCTTTAGTTTGTTCTAATTTGTATTACATTCAGATAGTGCTCAGTCTTTTTAAATTAAAAGTTCACAGTCCTCGCTTGTAACACAAGAGTAAAACAACTTTCTTAGTTTCCTGTTATTTTAACAACACCTAAATTTTTAACATTTTTTGTGTATAAGGTTTTGTGATTTATAATGTTTATTTAAAATATCTGTCTAAAGATTATTGCTTTTAATAGCAACATACAGTATAGTTTTAAAACTTTCTATCTTTTATATCTAAGGGTATTTGATATTGATATTTTATTGACATTATACCATGTAAACATAAAAGAGCCCTTTTAGAGTCTATGGCACAGAAAATAAACAGACTTCCTCATTGTGCTTAGTTTTTAATGCATTACAAGCAAGGAAAGAAGTTGGGAGCATATTTTGACCAGAAAAGGAACTGGAATATACTTTTCATGTTTTTTAACAGTGCTTACAAATAGTAACTTAGCCTCCTTTGACTCCAGGACAAGGTCACAAATGTGAGAGGAAAGTTGAAAAGCATTGCATGCGCCCTGGTCCTAGACAGAAGACATATTTTAAAGATTAGGACCAAAAACATGAAAAATGATTTGAAAAATTGGCCCAGGTGAACTATTTAAAACAAGAAGCACCAAAGCCAGCCTCAGCAAAAGTGAGGTGCTAAGCATCTCAGTGAGACCCTATCTCTAAATAAAATACAAAATAGACTGGGGATGTGGCTCAGTGACCTCTGAGTTCATTCCCCAGTACCAAAAAAAAAAAAAAAAAAAGGGTACATCTCCAAGGCTGGTATGGTAGTTTTTGCCTTTTTATTTTCTTTCTAAGACAAAACTTTAAAACATTACTTGTAAAATCCAAAGGAGGTAAGAAGTGGAGTTTCCCATTTCCACAGTGCTGTGATGGCCTCTGAATTACTGTGACTTAACCCTACACTGACCTCAACTGAGACGCCCGCATGAACTTGTGCTACTAGCCCTACTGGTGCAGACAACCCAAGCCCTCACTCAGCTTATGAGATTTGAACCCTACCCTTTAAAAGAAGGACACTAAAAATAGAACACATAAAATTCTAAAGAAAGGCAAGAATCTCAAGTTTGTGCGATGGTTTTATTTTGGGGTTTTTTGCTCTTTTGCTGAAAACAGGCACGATTTCCTAGGATTTTAAGAGGACAAAGCCACAAATGGTAGCCTTTTTTGCACTTAGATATATATCACAGAGAGGAGAGAACTAGCATTTTCTGTGCTTGTCCATCTGAAGATTTCTTCCTCGACAAACTATGGGCTTTGATTGGCCCCAGTCAGGCAAATGGGGGTAGCGAGCTCTCAACACTGGCAGGAATTTACCTCTTATTGTTCGTGTGGCCAGACTTGGGAACCAAAGCTTCCAGTCACCTCTTTCCACAGTCCAGTTGTTTCCCTCTTCAGTTCAGACCCCTGTATCAGGAGGTATCCTCTGACCTCTGAATCATCACCTGAATCTTCCCCGACCAGCACATTCTGCTCCCTAAAGGACAATGTTTGTAACATTCCCACCCAGAATTTTCCAGTGAGTCCCCCTTGTCTACAGAATAACTCCAGTTACTGGAACCCAGCCCACAGGAGCTTCTGTAGTCCAACCTCAGACCATGCTTCTAGATGACTCTGCCTTTATTCCTCACTTGGACCAAATCAAAGTTGTCCCCGAAGTACATTCGTTATGCATGCTTCCAACATTCCTTTAAGCCATTCCCTGCAATGGAATTCTCCTTCACTTGTTCACATCCCACAGATCCTTCTTGGAACAATCTGAATGTTCTTACCAGCTTTTATAATTTCTTTATACTATTTCTTTAAATGTGTAAATTTAAAAGATTTGATTTTCCTCTAGGAACACTTCAAATGCCTGAATATGACTATAACAATCATTTGATACGTTTAAATCTAATGCATTATATTTATAAATGTGAGAATTCAAATGTTCTTAAACAATTCAGTATTGTTCAGCAATGTAAAAATTTAAATTTTGACTTTATAAGTCTAAAATCAGGTACATGGTTTAAATTGGAATCACATGGCTAACGGATCCGATTCTACAATATTCCTGTTTTTTCAAAAAAAATTAGAAGTGCTTTAATACCAAATATGATATGGATTACCCTGATAATTATAAAACAAAGTAACACAGGAGTATTACTTTGGCTTTGATTTAACATTTATTTTTAATGGTAAACCTTTCCAGGCCTGTAAAAACAGAAACTAAGAAAGGCAGGATTTATTTTATTTTATTTTTTAATTTTTTATTGTTGGTTGTTCAAAACATTACATAGTTCTTGATATATCATATTTCACACTTTGATTCAAGTGGGTTATGAGCTCCCATTTTTACCCCATATACAGATTGCAGAATCACATCAGTTACACATCCATTGATTTACATATTGCCATACTAGTGTCTGTTGTATTCTGCTGCCTTTCCTATCCTCTACTATCCCCCCTCCCCTCCCCTCCCCTCCCCTCTTCTCTCTCTGCCCCCTCTACTGACATTCATTTGTCCCCCTTGTATTATTTTTCCCTTTCCCCTCACTTCCTCTTGTATGTACTTTTGTATAACTCTGAGGGTCTCTTTCCATTTCCATGCAATTTCCCTTCTCTCTCCCTTTCCCTCCCACCTCTCATCCCTGTTTAATGTTAATCTTCTTCTCATGCTCTTCGACCCTACTCTGTTCTTAGTTACTCTCCTTATATCAAAGAAGACATTTGGCATTTGTTTTTTAGGGATTGGCTAGCTTCACTTAGCATAATCTGCTCTAATGCCATCCATTTCCCTGTAAATTCTATGATTTTGTCATTTTTTAATGCAGAGTAATACTCCATTGTGTATAAATGCCACATTTGTTTAATCCGTTCATCTATTGAAGGGCATCTAGGTTGGTTCCACAGTCTTGCTATTGGGAATTGTGCTGCTATGAACATCGATGTAGCAGTGTCCCTGTAGCATGCTCTTTTTAGGTCTTTAGGGAATAGACCGAGAAGGGGAATAGCTGGGTCAAATGGTGGCTCCATTCCCAGCTTTCCAAGAAATCTCCATACTGCTTTCCAAATTGGCTGCACCAATTTGCAGTCCCACCAGCAATGTACAAGTGTACCCTTTTCCCCACATCCTCGCCAGCACTTGTTGTTGTTTGACTTCATAATGGCTGCCAATCTAACTGGAGTGAGATGGTATCTTAGGGTGGTTTTGATTTGCATTTCTCTGACTGCTAGAGATGATGAGCATTTTTTCATATACTTGTTGATTGATTGTATGTCCTCCTCTGAGAAGTGTCTGTTCAGGTCCTTGGCCCATTTGTTGATTGGGTTGTTTGTTCTCTTATTGTCTAATTTTTTGAGTTCTTTGTATACTCTGGATATTAGGGCTCTATCTGAAGTGTGAGGAGTAAAGATTTGTTCCCAGGATGTAGGCTCTCTATTTACCTCTCTTATTGTTTCTTTTGCTGAGAAAAAACTTTTTAGTTTGAGTAAGTCCCATTTGTTGATTCTAGTTATTAACTTTTGTGCTATGGGTGTCCTATTGAGGAATTTGGAGCCCGACCCCACAGTATGTAGATCGTAGCCAACTTTTTCTTCTATCAGACGGCGTGTCTCTGATTTGATATCAAGCTCCTTGATCCATTTTGAATTCACTTTTGTGCATGGCGACAGAAAGGGATTCAGTTTCATTTTGTTGCATATGGATTTCCAGTTTTCCCAGCACCATTTGTTGAAGATGCTATCCTTCCTCCATTGCATGCTTTTAGCCCCTTTATCAAATATAAGGTAGTTGTAGTTTTGTGGATTGGTTTCTGTGTCCTCTATTCTGTACCATTGGTCCACCCACCTGTTTTGGTACCAGTACCATGCTGTTTTTGTTACTATTGCTCTGTAGTATAGTTTGAAGTCTGGTATCGCTATACCACCTGATTCACACTTCCTGCTTAGCATTCTTTTTGCTATTCTGGGTCGTTTATTTTTCCATATGAATTTCATGATTGCTTTCTCTATTTCTGCAAGAAATGCCGTTGGGATTTTGATTGGCATTGCATTAAACCTATAGAGAACTTTTGGTAATATCGCCATTTTGATGATGTTAGTTCTGCCTATCCATGAACAGGGTATATTTTTCCATCTTCTAAGATCTTCTTCTATTTCTCTCTTTAGGGTTCTGTAGTTTTCATTGTATAAGTCTTTCACCTCTTTTGTTAGGTTGATTCCCAAGTATTTTATTTTTTTTGAAGATATTGTGAATGGAGTGGTTGTCCTCATTTCCATTTCAGAGGATTTGTCGCTGATATACAGGAATGCCTTTGATTTATGCATGTTGATTTTATATCCTGCCACTTTGCTGAATTCATTTATTAGCTCTAATAGTTTCTTTGTAGACCCTTTTGGGTCTTCTAGGTATAGAATCATGTCATCTGCAAATAGTGATAATTTAAGTTCTTCTTTTCCTATTTTGATGAGAAAGGCAGGTTTTAGAACCCCAAGCAAACAAACTACGAGATTGGAAATTCACCATTTGCCTAAAAAAAAATCTGTGGCTGAGAAATGTGTCTTTAAGCGTTACATACTTCTGGGAAGAATCTATTGAACCACAGAGACACTCACTTTTCAAACCATATAACATTAAGAGTTCTCCAAATCCACAGCCTTCAAAAAGCTCTGGTTTTGTTAAACCAGATTCAAATTACATCCTAAACATATCTTGTCTAAAAAGTAATTTTGTACCCTCAACTCGTCATTAATTTCCTTCAAAAATCTTGTACTAGCTTACTTGAAATTTTAATTTCTTTTTCACATTCTTTTTCTGTGACTGGATACAACTTATGTAAATGACATCCAATTAGTTTCTACGTTTGTTCCATATCAATGTCTAGTTTTCTTTGTTCCTGAGACTAGAACTCTATAAAGTTGTGCTCAGGATGGCAAAATTAAGTTTTAAAGCTGAACCAAAGAGGAAGCTGTCATGGAATTATAG